TTTAATATATTTTGAGTATATTTTATATTAATATTATTTTTTAAATATGTCGCTCACAAGCTAATAAGTCAAGTCAGAGCTAACTTGAGCTTAGCTTGTTTGCTCATCGAACTCAGTCCACGAGCCACTTATCAAACATAGCTCATGCCGACTCACAACTAAAACCAAATTTTCGTCGAAAAACTGACGGAATGAGAGAATATTAGATTTAAACCAACAGATAATTTAAATTTCGCTTTTTCTATGTTCTGCTAGATATATGTTAAATTTTTGGCTGAATTCTGTTAAATTCATGCTACCAAACACATCTTTATAATAAATAAGTCGACTCGTGAACTGAATTGAATTCATAAATATAATCTCCAACTCAGATAAAACTAACCACATTCCATTCCTAATTCACTTTTTTTTTTTAATAAATTCATTCAATAGAAATATTATACTTGATTTGTTCCAATTGACCACATAACGAAATCGAAACCCAAACCTAACTGCTCCTCTCCCTCCTTAAACCCTAACAGTTTCTTCTCCAGTATCAGCCAAGAAGCTATGAAGCGTAAACCAGAACCAGAGGACACCTCCGGCGACGAAGAAAAATCCCAAAAGCCTTCAGGCGCGAAGGCTCTTACAGACAAGCGGAAGAAAATTAAGAGTATTGCTGACGCAGAGAATAGCTTTCGGGGAGGAGAAGCCGAAAGGCTCTCGGAATATAATGAAGAGGAAGAAGCGGAAGAACATTTGTCCGTCCTCGAACTCCGCGGCGACGGCGATGTCTGCCGTGCGCTTATGGAGCGCTATTCACGGTCCACCGCAAAGCAGCACCGCCATCTCTGCGCTACCGCCGCCGCTATGCAGTCTATACTTTTAGAGGAAGGCCTCCCTCTCATTCCTTCTGCATATTTTGCCGCCGGCATTGCTGCGGTTCGCGACGCCGATCGAGCGGACCGGGAAGGTGTTGCTGCTCTCTCTGCTTTTGTCGCCGTTGTGCTCCCTCTAGTCCACACGGAGTCCTTGCCGAAGGCCAAGGCTAAAGAAGCCGCGATCGTTATTGCTTCCTTCCTGAGGGATCCAGCTGGCGGTCTGTCGACCGGTACCCTGCGGTCTATGGTCAAGTCATTGGGTCTGGTGGCTCTGAGAGTGGATTTGGAAGATTGGCCTTCGATTGAATTGCCTCTTGAGACTCTGCTACTTTTTGCAGTGGATAAGCGCCCAAAGGTACAATTTTTCAAAATTGTTTACTGGTCGGAAAGGAAGGCACAATGCACAGCTAATTTTATTACTAGTATTATTCACAATCTCTTTAGGTAATTGACATCACAATGCCTGTTAGATGTGGCCATATGGTTATTCGATATGATCATATTGAAATTTAGCTGGTAATTCATATCACTTATCAGACATTAACATTGATGATTCTCATGTTGAAAATGGAAACTTGCACATGTTTGGTTTGGGCTGTCAAATATTAGTTTCAGAGCATTAAATCTGAATGGAGATGATAGTCTCTTTACATCTTATACAAACTTCCCCAACCTCCCTTACACATTCAACCACATTCATACTCTTGTTGACAGATTATGAAGAGTGATGATCAATATAATAGAAAACTTAGGTGCGAAAATCCTTTAATACTATCTTTTATGCTGTCTAGGAGAAAATTACATAGTATCTTATATAATGTCAACTATCCCTTTTTTGCATTTCATAAGTATCTTCACCTGCTTGTGTAAAATAATTCAGTTTATTATTTTATGCACAAAAAGAAGTGAAATAAATTTAGTACTGATAATTAGATTGATTGTGTTAGAAATGACACAATTAAGAAGATGCTTTTAACATGATGTTTTTCTCCTAACCATTTGTTTTGTGTTGTCTACGTTGAATTAGTGGCTTTGGCCCAATTTTTGTTCACTTATGAAATGATTAATAATTCTGCAATATGGAATGGATTGTGTATTTGCAGGTTCGGAGATGTGCCCAATCCTGTCTTGAAGTGCTTTTAAAAAATTGCCATAATTCCTCCATTACCAAAAAGGCTAGCAAAGTTGTACATTGTATGCTTAGAAAGTATATCGCATTGGTGAAAAACACCTGTTCAATTGAACCTACAGACGCTGCTCTGAACAACACTGTGTCCAAACCTGAGAATTTGGAAACTCTCCACATGCTAAATGTTATGAATACTGTGCTCCCTTATATTTCAGATAAAGTCAGAATGAAAATTTTGTCTGATGCCTATGAACTGCTTGGTTTTCATTTTTCATGGACAACTAGACATATTCTAAGAATTCTCGAGGCACTGCTGGAGCACTCAGATGTTAAGGTTTTTGTCCCCAAAGCAGAAGACTTCATGTCAGCCCTTGCATCATACATCTCCACAGCTGAAAAGA